GGGGGGGGGGGCACTTCAGACGGGGGCGTGGCTATGCCAGTGGCAAAAGGCGTAGCTAAGGGGTGGCAGATAGGACATACGTCCCGGGGCGCCGGACATGTGGGAGGGGTAAACTTTGATGGAATTAATTGGTTTAAAAATAATGGGTTTCAGAGATATGGGAAAAATGCATTCTTATATTTTGAATTTATCAAAAAAATTCTGGGGACTATAATGATTTAAGGGCGAGAATAACCAACGCGTACCCTTAAGGGTGACATAACTAGAGTGAATATAGTTTACGTCCCGCTGGTGCGAAATTTAAGATGTCTTTGGTCATTATTATAGCTAATTTTGCCATTTCCAACCCGAAAGTTTGAAATGCCACCTCAAAAGTTTCTGAAAGAAACAACACATTCAAGTATGCACCAGAATGCACCATTGCATTTTGAGTTCACCCGACTTTTTTTAGCACCCTACATTTCTGCACCCCCCTTTACTCACGCTGATCAATGGTACATTATGGGGTTGATTATAAGTATATGCCAAATGATAACTCTGGGGCACGCCACAAACGGAGTGAATTCAGTTTATATAAGGCACTGGGCTAAGTAATGCCTCCAAGAAAATTTGAAAAAAGCTTTTGCCTCTTCAAAAGGTATAATAGAAACATCGAATTCAAGTATACTCAAAACTACACCTCTTGATTTTGAAATAATAAAAAATCAAACCCCTCCACCGATCAAGATTCATCGGCCCCATTGATTTCCGCCCTACTCCTCAATGAAAATAATCGCCGATTTTGGTATCGATAGATACACTGCCTAGTGGCGTAGCTACTATTAGTGCCACCATGAGCAGCCAAATATTTCATTTTTACGCCCCAACTCTGAAACCCATTATTTTCAACCAATTAATTCCATCAAAGCCCATTTTGTCCCCCCCCCCAAACAAGTCAGGCGCCCCTGGACGTATGTCCCATCTGCTACCCCACCCCCCCCCCCCGAGATTCTGAAGTGTCCCACTTCAAGTTAAACACTGAATAAACACAGTAACGTACAGATCCAAAAAGGAAACCAGAACAGAAAAACACACAGAGTAAGTCCACCAATTTTTTGTAAATTTCGAAATAATTTATGTTCATAAGTCCAGGAAACTTTTGATTGATCAACTTAAATAATTTTTCATGAAGAGCTATTGAACAAAGGATATGAGTATAAGAACGAACTTGCTAATAAAAAAAAATCAAAATTTATTAAAAATATAACATATTTGAAAAATAGCAATTTAAAAATGAATTTGTTGAAATATCATGTTATCCATATTACTGAATCATATCCAATACTTAAATGAGACTTATTCTTTTTATTTTATATATCCCTCAGACATAAGACATAAGCTAGCACAATATTGTCACCTTTTATATTCAAAAAAGTATTTCACCTTTTACAGTCGAAAAATCATTTCACCTTTTAAAGCTAAAAAAAATTATTTCTATTTAAATGTAATTGAGACTTGAGCCAGTCACTGATGAAGTCAATAAGGAACTTTAGTAGAAATCGTGGTGCTGAAAACATTAGGCTAATCATGATGTCCATGATGGCTTCATCATTTTAAAAGATTCTGAAAATTCAATGAATTAATACATAATTCAGATCATGTTATAAATTATAAATCTAAAAAGCTGCCTGGTGGCATTGTTACATGATGTCTAAATGACAATGTATCTTTCAAGTCATTAAAAATTCAACAATCTTGACAAATCTCATAAGTGAATTAATTTAAAGAAAAAGGATTGTAATCAATCTAGAGAGTAAATAATATTTTTGTTAATGATAAAAAAGAAACAAACTGTACCTGAAAACAGAAATAATGGGTTTCCAGACACATCCAAATAGGAAAATATAGATAAATTCTGGGGATCAAACAATCAGATACGCCTCTTATTTCATTGACCCAATTGTAACTTGGTAACAAATCATTGGAGACTAAAATGTGAAATAAGTCTTTGACAGCCAAAAATGTAATTTGGAATCAAAAACATCAACAAAAAAGAGGGCAGGAGTTTGATATCAATAATTATTGGGGTTAGCAGGGTTTCCCAACTTGGGATGCTCACAGCCCTAGGGGTGTGAGGTGGCTATTCAAGGGGTGTTAGAAAAATGGATTTTGAGAACAGAGGTCACATTAGATTTTTATGTCATGATAATAAATGTTTGTGCATTTTTAGAAATTTCTTTATTAACATTTTCCATTATGTAACAATTTTATTTTCTAAGTTCTTAAGTTCTCATTGCATTAAATAATTAAATTATAAGTCTATAATTTTAAAATTGGTAAAACAATTTGTAGTGGGTAGGAAAGATTGGGAAATACTAGTCTAGAGTAAACTTTAAATAAACTAAATAATTGCAACAAACTTACCAGGCGGGTGAGACAGTTTTGTGGCTAGTGACTTATGTGGTTTACATTCAGCATCCCAATCTACTGGCACTGTTGGTTTCATCAAGATGATAAAATCTTCCAGCTTACAAGGATTTTGGCAACCTTTGGGTAGTTCAAGTAAAATAAAATTAAGGATCTGTTTAATTCACAACACATTTGCCAATATAGGCCTACATTTACATGCTAGTTCTAAAATGCAGTACATGCAAACATATGAATATTTTATGATTCAATGACTTTTTTTTTTTTAAACTTACTTTTTTATTAAACAGAAATTAAGTAAGGCTCTACACACCGGGTGGGGTCAATTCATATGGTTCTCTTGTTGTGTCATTTCTATAAAATATCTTGACCACGTAATTGTCTTGGAGTTTATGTAGTTCAACCATTACTAAAGCTCTGTACATAGGGACATGTCTGTCAAATAACTTCATGGCAGCAAGAAGTGATGCTACAGTTGTATCATGCTGAAAATTTAGTATATAGTAGTGTAGGCCTACTGTTGTCTTACTCAGCTTTTAAAGTCTGATAGTTTTACATCTAAAAAAGGTTGAAAAATCAGTTTGGAAGCTCATCCTGACTAAATACTGATGAGAAATAAATTTGGTTTGTTTAATTAATGTTGGTAATGCTCGATCTTCATGTCACAGAAACTGTGTTCTGGTCACATTTCCAAGACTTGCCAAACATTATTTTTGTTTTTAATTTTAATTAATTTATAGGCGGCCATCACACTATAATGTTGGCAAATTATAGTATAATAGTGCAATTTTTTTAACTGAGTCAGATACATTGATGATTTTCAAATACATTCATAGTTTAACAATGTGCCAGTTAATTTTTTTAAAGAAACATTTTTTAAAGCATGTTGCAAGAAGTGAGTGTTGTAGAAAACCATACGGGTAAGGGGGGTGTATTTTTTGTTGATTATTTTGGTAGTTAATTACAGTGACAGCATTGAAATGGCCCTGTAAGAATAAAAAAGTTACTGTGGGGCTTCAGAATCTGAACTTAATCTATTCAAGAACCCTGTTCAAGTTCCATATAGTCTGAATCTCAATAAAATTTTTCCTTTTCAAATAATAGAAACTGGTTTAATCCATTCCTGGGTGCTACAAACTTATTGGATTCCAGTTTTAAACACTAGTATCAAACATGACTTTCACTAAATCGTGGTGGAGGACCTTGGCTGCTCACAATATATCGTCCCAGAAATCACATCAACAGCTGTTTTTCATTAGTCCAAAGTATGAGGATTTTTTTTTTACATGTCATCCATACTTTCCAATCTCTTAGAGATCAGTGTCGTAACCCATTTCGCCACATCAGCTGCTTCGACAGCTTCTTTATTTTTCAAAATTGTACAAACAGTCAATGTAGGCATTCCAAACATAGAAGATGGATCAGCCACACATGTAAAAATTTCATGCGTAGCTATTAGATCTTTCTTAACTTCAATATTAGCTCTAGCAGCTGTCCTCTTACTATTACTGTCCTCACTTCACCTTTTATGACCCATGGGGGATTCCTTTTTTTTTTTTTTTTTTTTTTTTTAATGACACAAAATGGACACAAAAAGCATAGAATTCACAGCAAAAATCAAATGAAATGCTTTCACCACAGCTTACGTCAGTGATCTCAATGACAAAGTATATGGGTTTCCAAAGCATTATTTGGATTTTGAGTGAACATTTGCTAGAAAGTTTGATATGATTCTAAGTTGTTCAATTTCTGTGGCATTAGAAATCCTAGGCCTAACTGTATTATATATTTAGAAATCTATATGCTAAGTCCTGGGTTCCAGATGAAAATGTTTGTTCTACGAGACAGTAATGTGTGGATAATTTAAGTGTCATTCTTAGCAGTAAACATGCTTCATTTACAAATATTAAGAAGTCATATTCTGACTTATTATGATGACTTTATATTTAACATGCTTGCAAGGCAATAAATACTCATTTTAAACTATTTTAAAAATGTCATGGTGTGAAAAAGGCAAGGAATAAGAGGGTGAGCACATGCATGTAAAAGGTAACAAGGAAAATTGTCCAAACAGTTAAAATAAATACAATAAATTGTCTTACATTTAAAAGTTCTATTTTCAAAATTGTTATCTTATTCGGGATGTTTATCTTTATACTGAAAATGAATTTGTACAATCTAATCAAAACACATTTCCATTTAGTTGGATCAATAAAAGATACTTATCTTAAAAAGATTTATAAAAGGTATGTTTCTGCATTTGAAGAATGGAAACGTATAGTGATTAATTATTTGATAGTTCAACCACTTACAGCTGAATACATATAGAATTTGGGATGAGGCACATCTTGTTTGGTAGCTGAATCCATGTTGGAGATGATTTCCTTCAGTAATGGACCTGATAGAAAATGGAGATTACGTGAATGGAGATGAAATAAAGAGGTCTGTGCCATCTGCTTTGACAAGTCCAAACCACAACCTTTGAGTGAAACTTTTAAATCATAAACCCTTTCTCAGTAAATAAATTATATGTTTACAATACTTAAACGTTTGAATATGACATGATTATAATACGACTAAAACAAAAGAAATAAAGATTTTAAACTTATAGATTGTGGCTTTTAATCTACTTATTTCAGTTACAAAAAAAAAAGAAAAAAAAAAGAAGCTGTCACCTCCTGTCAGTCTTGCCATTTCACTGGTATAAGTATATACAGCAGAACTAAGACTGTTCAATGAATTCAATTTTTCCCACACTCCTGGCTGTGTGGCCCATTCATTCCATGTCATATTGTGAGTCCACTAAAATAATTATACACACCATCGGGATATTAATTTAGATGTTTCTTTAAAATGATTAAAAGAATTTTACTTGTTTTAAAACACTTGTTACTCTCAAAATCTTGTAAAACCGAAAACTGATGGAATTGTGTTGTTAAAGTTTCTTTATGTTAAAAAGTTTCAAGCTTAGAAATGTTAATAATAATTATTTTTGTTTTCTTGGGGTGATAGTTGTGTAACAAAATTGTCCAAACACAAAACATTTTTAAGTGTTTCTTAAATGAGTTACTTGATACTGTGTACATCTTAAGTTTAAATTTAAATGTAGCCTCTCTGGCCTTATGAACAAACATTGCGCTCCAAAAAAAATTCATTAGTTTAATATGTGTAAGGAAAAACTCACGTTTAAACAAATGATAATGCCAAACTTGCTGTCATTTATTTTTTTATAAAAATGGGAACAACTTAAATTTCTATCAGCACTTTACAAGACATTCCCTGGGTGAACATTACCTCACAGAATAGGGTATCAGCAACAGACCATATTTCCTTGATATTCTCTTCTTTTATCCCAGTGCTGTTTTCAACCATCTTATAGAAAGCCTGAAAGTTTTATAATTATAAATCTTCAATGGAGTGTTGGAAAGGGTGTCACTAAAAATTATTGTAAATGTTGGAATTAAGGCAATGCAAAGGATTTGTGGGACCCAGGGACCCAAGTTTTCTCCAATTAGGAGGGTGATTCCCCCCAACCCTCCAACTCCATGATAAAAAAAGTTTAATCAAATAAAAATGCTTGTAATAAAAATCAGTTGCAATATTTTATTAAATCATCACTTACATTATTTATTGCTTACTTTTCATCTGAAATATTTATGAAAACAAAGTTGCTATGTGAATTTAGGGAGAGAGAGAGATGCAATGACAAGTTCAGTTAAAGACCATTATAAATAGTGCAATAGCTTTACCTTATTTTCTTCTTCTTCCTTTTGAATTTCAGGCAAAAACATCACTTCTTCTAGTAACTGATCATACCTTGGGCATGGAGCACTTATAGCTAATTTCTGTTAAGATCAATTAAATTAATTCAATTTAGAATTTTGTCAATTTTTAAAATAAAATAACAGTTATAACACAACAAAAGGGGAACCACTCATGCTTAGTTTAGCCAAGACTGGGTGCCATTCTCGCGTTCATAACAAAGTTAGGCTCCAACTCAACAATATATTATTACATTATCTGTGTCAACTGGTGTGGTCTGTACTGGAATAGGTTGCCACAGAAGATCAGGTTTCCAGATCTGACTACCTTGAGGTGTAAATAAACCAGCCAGGTGACAGTAAGCGGACATCAGACACCTGTTCACACCTGATGATTGAACTACAATCTGAAGACAAATTTAATTTGGGGTTTATTTTTTGGTAATGTCCACTCAATGTTACATTGAGTGTTCTGAAGATATTTACATTTACAGAGAAAAGAAAATAGATATTTTTCCCTTTAAATTAAGATCTGTTTTAAAAATCTGTGTATTGTTTAGAAAAATAAGTTAAATGTGTAATAAAGTATACAAATTTTCAACAATTCTCAAGAGTGAATGTTTACCTCATCATGATTGTAGTAAGATGTGTTGATAAATCCATCATATCGCTGTTTAACAAACTTTCCAAGCTCAAACTGCTGAATTTTTCCCAGCTGTGAAATATATTAGTTATGTTAAAGAGCAAAACTTCTACTAAAAAAAAACATCCAGCTTGGTTGTCCTTATTTTTAACTATTGTAAAATGAACAGTTTAATCCAAAGAATTTCAAGTTACTTATCCACAAAATACCAAAAGATATACTTTTCTATATCATAGAGAAGTATAACAATAGACAATAGAATGTGAAATCTTACATTTGTAAGCCAGCCTAGACCATCAGGCCAAGCATCTGCTTGATTAATATCTAATGGGTAAATGGAGGATGGACTGCGATCACCATGTCGATACAGCTAAAAAAAAATAAAAATGAAATGATAATTGTTTGTTATTTGTGCATTTTTTACAAGTGTTCTTCGGTAAAGTAAAAGATGATGTCTGAAATTTTATATTGTTATAGTTTAGAGTTAGATACCGGTATTTAGAATTATTATTAGTGTTCTAGTTTTTAAAAAGTTAAAATTAGTAAATTTCAGGTGCATTTTTATTGTTTACGTTGAGATAATGTAAACGATGTCAATGTGAATGTCTACAAAACAGTCCAACTATAGTCTATTATTACCGACAAAACAGTTAATTATGTACCGGTATGGAAAGATTCTTTTCATCCTACAACGTTCATAGTTACCTGAGTGTTCTTGGTTCCACCTTTCCTCACTTCATGTGCCTCTTTTTTTATTAAGTTCAACTTGTTTTTTGTTTTTTTTATCAATACATGGACCTGTCACATACCTGTTTACTCTTACGATTGGGGCATCCGGTCCTATGGTAAAATGTACGAATTTGAGATGTCTTTTACGATTGTAACGCACGCCAAGACCTGTCATAACTACGATTTTAAGAGACCGGATTGGGAATTTATACATTCCGGTAGTTTTTTCCTATTAAAAAAAATTATAAAGTACATTTTTCGGTGAGTTTTAGCCCCTTTCTACACCCAGACGTGAATGGGGCGAGAAATACGATTAGTTGGGGACCATCTCGAATTGTATTATGTGTGTCCTGAGAAGGGCAGGGAGTGGTGGCGTTAATTAACAGGGATCGGGAACCTTTTCATGGCAAAGAGCCTAGTACCTAGTAGTATAAAATAGCTACACGAGTAAGACATGACAAAGATCAAAGAGCCGCAGGTTTCCAATCCCTTTTCCAGGCGAGTTTGCGTACAGTGTAAAAAATAAAAGGGGGGGGGGCGTTCTAAAATATTTAAGTATATTATAAAATAAAACCGCCACGTTTTGGTAATGATGGTCATATTGATATTGTAATATAACGGTGATCGATTTTTTTTTATTTTTTTTTTTTTGCTTCTGACAGAAGCTGTGCTGTATGATGTAATTTGTGACATAGTTAGTTCGATTGGCTAAATCGTGGCGAGTGCAAAAACAGAGAAAACATTTTTTTTTTCAACTCTTCCGCACAACATTGGATTTCTACATATTCTACATGATCTGAGAGGGCCTTTGAAATCTATTGTTAGAACGCACATAACAGCTATACGGTTTTTACTACCCACGTTTGGTTCCAACACTCCTTGTGAAAGTTATCAGACTATAATTAATAATATAACGGGCCAATAGATATTGAATTTTATTTTATTTAATTTTTTTTAACCAGCTTTTCCATAAAATAATTAATCTGGAGTTATTTTTGGGGGTACTCTTTATAAATGACGTCCTCATTGGTTAATTATTTCAATACATTCTATTTATGTTGAACTGACTTCGCGTTTGAACCACGTTAAATACCACCACTCAGTGGCGTAGCTAGGGGTGCGGGGGTGACACCAACCCTAGCTACGCCTCTGCCACCAGTAACTTTATTTTTACCTTTGACAAATATTAATTGTGGCAGATACACTTATACGTCTGCAAAAGTAAGTGACCGCAGATTGCATTATAAACATCGGTCATCTACTTTTGGAAGTTACCTTTTTGACGCATGCGAGTCGGCCAAGTTATTTTATTCCAGCGTTTCCCAAACTTTTAAGTTTCACGGACCGGTGGAGAAGTTTCGAAACTGCACCAGGGACCGGTGCCAGATTTGATTATTACATTTTCTTTCTATTTAAACATCAATATTCATGCTCTCTGGACCGGTAACGTAAGGCATTTGCAGACCAGTGCCGGTCCATGGACCACCGTTTGGGAAACGCAGTTCTATACATTTTAAATTCTGTTTATTTGCTATTAAGATGCTGTATTGTAAGAATTTGAGATATTATAAGATTTTATGAGTTCGAGCGTAACCGGTCATCTTCTACTTCTACTCTTAAAACTAAAGATACAATTCCTGTTTCAGTCACTGGTTAAGAATGTAGGCCTATACAGGCCTATGCTGTATACAAAATACAAGGCCTACATTTAAACAATTTGAATTTGTTCTACTTTGGATCTACTTACCGCACTGACAAGCTTTAAACTACTTGGTGGTGAAGATAACACAACGGAATAGAAACAATAATTAATTATGGATATTAGGTTGAAGTGACTGCTCATTTTTGAAATTGTATTTTAGTGCGATATTACTTCTTTATTCAAAACTGTAGTTGACTGAACGTTGACCTCACAGCCAGTTAAGTTTAAAAACAAATTCTTATCACCGACACGCCCATGTTTACTGGATATAAAAAAAAAAAAAAAGATATCTAGGTCATAAGATAAAGGACTTCAACTTTGTTTAGCTACAATGGTGATAAAGTATGCCTTCACCTTTCATATAGGATAACTTAAATTTCTTTTTTTTTTTTTTATAAAGATAAAAAAAAAAAAAAGATATCTAGGTCATAAGATAAAGGACTTCAACTTTGTTTAGCTAAAATGGTTATAAAGTATTCCTTTACCTTTAATATAAGATAAATTAAATTTTTTTTTTTTTTTTTTATAAAGATAAGATTTACTATATATTTTTTTTTAAACATACCAGTATGTTATAATTTTGCACAATGAATGGTTAACTTTTTATAAATTGTTTATTAAGAGTTTATTTTTTTATCTCATTAAATCAATTTTTCAAAATGTAGTTTTGCCCACAATATTTTTTCCACTTAAAAGCAAAATGGTTATGGTGCTCTATATTTATTTTCATACAGGCTCTGAGGATTAATGAAAAGAGGAAAAAGTGAGTGAAAAATCATTGTAAAATTGTCAGGCAAAAAAGAAATTGAAGAGATTTATTAATTTCATTTCAGATTTATATTTTTAAAAATTGTGATCCCGCACCATTGATATAACTCTGCAATTCCCCTGGTTAGATATAGATCTTATATTCCCTTGAGTGGTTTTTCCACCGCTGTTAGATATAAATCTTATATTCCCATGGTTATTATTAGCAAATGCCATATTTCTTTTCTATCTAAAAAATTATCTCAACAAAAGACATGACCAAATCAAAATCATACCTGGCAAGTATATAAACACTAAGACAACTAAGATTGAAGATAATACATTTTAATAACATTTTACACATTGCAATAAGTATAAGAATATAAACATTTCCACATTAAGACTAAGATTCGCAAGTCCACCGATAAGTCAATAGACTCATGTAAACCAAAAGTATGAATGAATTAAATCATACACTTGCCTGTCATAATTATAATTGCATGCGTCCAAACATTTTAAGAAAATGGGTTTTAGTGGGCCAAAATTTGTTATTTGATCAAGGTCATATGACATGAAAGCAACCTGAATAACACTATAAAATAAAGAGTTGTTTGACAGACAAAACATGAAAGAATGTAGCTAACATAGTTTTATACATACACTTCAGTGTATCCTTATTCTCAGCAACAATAATTGCTAGACTGATTATCAATTAATATTCATCATAAAGGTACATCAAAAAGGTTTTTTTTGGTGTCTTTTTTTGCATGATCAAATTTTTATATGTTTAGAATTTAAGTCTACTTAATACTGTAAAATTATAGGTAAATTTCCTTTAATCATATTTAAGCATTTGAACCCTTGATCCTAAAATACCCTTGATCCTAAAATACCCCATGCCCCCACCATTTGAACACTGACTCTAAAATACCCCATGCCCCTACCATTTGAACCCTTTATCCCTGACCCTAAAATGCCCCTACCATATGAACCCTTGACCACTGACCCTAAAATGCCCCATGCCCTGAGCTCCTGGTGAAAATTCCAACAAAATGACAAACAAAATCAGATGATTATAAAATTTAATTTTAAAAAAGTTTCAATCCAAATTTGTCTGTTAGGTAGTCCATAACTATTACAAAATATTTCACAGAGAGAACATTTTCTTAGAATCTGTGTAGAGCAGCATTGAAGAAGGTCATTTATAGTCCCTTATTTCTCATAAAAAGCTAGGGCTAGACCTTGTGTTGTTTCCTTTATTCCCAAACACACCTCTTTTGCACTGGTAGTTGAAATCAATCCAACGTCACTATCGTTGCCTATTTGCTTTATTTCAATTATTTTTCAAACCTTTGATTCATTTGCATATTATCATAAATCTTCTCTGGTTTGTGTCCTTTAGAGGAGCAATTGGAAAACCTTACTAAAACTTAATAACAATGCATCCTTTGGCATAACCATTACTGTGGCCATTTGCAAGTGGCATAGTAAACCCTGAACTCAGTATTTATATATTATGGACTGTCGATCAAGGGTAAGGTATGGGAGACTGAAATATCGGTCTAGTGGGGGTGTGGATTTATAATGCACAGAACCATAACAGGGGTTCAAAGGGTTAACATAGAAAATGCACAGGTTTCAATTTTGTCAACATACTGTACAATTATAGGCCTACTATGTGCATATTACAGTAACTTAATCGATAACATAGAGAAAGTACAGGTTTTCAATTGTTTTTGTATCTTTCAATATTTTGCAATCTAATTTTGAAAGCACCTTCAAATTAAACCACTGTTATAGTATTATTAAAAAATTTTTTACGTACAACGGATCAACGCTAACCTTCACATGTTTAATAATTTTAGTTGCAATTTCTGCTAAAATTAGTTTAAAAAACTTGCCTCACAGCATTGGACGAAATAAAACTGATGTTTTTAAAAAGCTTGGACATTGTAATAACAATTTGATGAAATGAATAAAAAAAAAACTTTGCTGCAACAAATTATCTAATTGATCATCATAATTTAAAAAAAAAACACATCTCAATGTTTAAGGATTTTGCTAAGACGGCCATGATCATCTTTGGTTCGTCTTCGCTTGCGATTTTGATTGAGCTCAGGCATACTGAAAAAATGAATTAGATCAAAACGTACTTTGTTAAAAACCTTAAGTTAGACATCAGTACAAAATTTCATCACAGAAGACAATGGATGAGCCAGTTATTAAATTTTACATTTTATCTTTAACATTACATAAGATGACTTGTTATAAATCTAATCAAGTCACTACATTTTTTGAGGATTCAGGCATTTAATATATGACCAACCATTGTAATTTGACTTTGGCATTGGAAAATTAATTTCTGGCTGATCCAATAATCCTACTTCATTCCAGTTACTTTTATTAGAATTGGTTACTTTAAAGCAAGGAGTCTCAAACTTTTAGAATGTTGCACCAACCTATTAAAATTATATACAACCATGAGCAATTTTTTTCAATCAGACTAAAGACCACTAAGGATGCACAGACCACAGTTTGAGAACGGCTGTTCAATAATATGTAACTAAATATTATTTTGTTTAAACATTTATGTAGCATTTTACCAATTTATAATTTTGACTTTTATTTCTTTTTTGTATCTTTGAGCTTAATTGTTCAACTCCAACTATCTTATTTGCTATATATATTTCAATACACTTTCTATAATTTATCCTTTCTTTATTTTCTAAATATAGTAGTAATAAGCACAGAAAAAAACTAATGGTATCAACAGAGTGTCCTGTCCCAGAATTAAGCTAACTCACCTAGCCTTCAAGGCTGTTACTTCAGCAGGATAAAACTCTGAAGGATCTGGTGGTGGCTCATCAGTTAAATAAGCAGGAATGTATTCTGGCTTTAAGCAATGAATGTCACTCTGTATTAACCGCTCTAAGTCCTCCTGAAAATGCGTAAATGGATTATTAATAAAAACAAGATAATAGATTTTTACTATTAAAAGATTATTATGAATTATGTCAGCAACAAAATTCTCACAATTATTTCTGATGCAAACTTGAATTTCCTACCTGTGGTAATTTTATTTTATTTAGATCAATGAACGCATGTGTGCCTTCTATGTCCTCAGGCAATGGTGACCTAGGATATAATAAATATGCAATGAAAATGAGATAACCATTCAAAGATTTTTTAAATGTTCAACTTTAAAGCAGTGACCTTTGCATAATCATTTTTAGTACACAAAAAAACTTTTCAGACAAAAAGGAGCAGGATTCTTATAGCTCTGCCATGTCAGACTTTCAAAGCTAGAAGGTTTCTCATAATTCTGCCACGCTAGACTTTCAAAGCTAGCAGTTTTTTTTATAGTTCTGTCGTGTCAGACTTTCAAAGCTAGCAGGCTTCTCATACTTCTGCCACCCTAGACTTTCAAAGCTGTTTATTTAAAATACATTTCTAAACTCTATTTAATCTCATTCTTTTATTTCCACTACAGACCAATTAACTGTTACCTAATGGTTGCAACTGAGGCACCGCCAGCTTCAAGAAATTAACTGTTACCTAATGGTTGCAACTGAGGCACCGCCAGCTTCAAGAAATTAACTGTTACCTAATGGTTGCAACTGAGGCACCGCCAGCTTCAAGAAATTAACTGTTACCTAATGGTTGCAACTGAGGCACCGCCAGCTTCAAGAAATTAACTGTTACCTAATGGTTGCAACTGAGGCACCGCCAGCTTCAAGAAATTAACTGTTACCTAATGGTTGCAACTGAGGCACCGCCAGCTTCAAGAAATTAACTGTTACCTAATGGTTGCAACTGAGGCACCGCCAGCTTCAAGAAATTAACTGTTACCTAATGGTTGCAACTGAGGCACCGCCAGCTTCAAGAAATTAACTGTTACCTAATGGTTGCAACTGAGGCACCGCCAGCTTCAAGAATACGCTTGAAATTTTCCTCTTTGCTTTTATCTAAACACAATAGAACTTTCCAACCATCATAAGCACCTTTACAGGAAGGATTAGTCTGGAAGATAAAACACAAGTTAAAGATAATTTTAATCTTACTTAATGATTTGAACAAGGTGAAGAGTGGCACCTCATTGTAGGTTAATATGATGGAGTAAAACTGCGCTTCCATCATCAAGAAGACTTTAAGAATATAGTTAATATGCTGCCTAACAAAAGAACATCTGAAAAGGACTTGACCAGTATCCGGAGTATCAATAGTGCATCGGATTAATCCCACTTGGAAACTAATGATATCAAACTGATGGTTCCAGTTGGAGATATGAACATACCTTTTTAAGAGCTTCAATTTTCCTGCGCCATTTATATGCTGCTGCAACAAGCTTGTTGGCCTGTTCTGTCATGTTCTGCATCAGGGGCAAAGTGTACTCACTTCCCCATTCATGTGGCTCTTCCTAGAGATCAAAATAAATTATCATCAAGGAAAAGCTCCTAGAAATATCAAACTCTTCACCACTCAAATTTTCTATATTTTTAAGGTATAGTTTTCACTTTAGCACCACATAACCAAGAGGACAGTTACTACTATTTTCATCTGTTAATGAAATATAAACCTTTATCCAAAAGAATATGAATAAAATAAATATCAGAAACATGCATGTTGAAAATGTTAATGTCTAACAAGGGTTTTTGTCCATAGGTGTGATGAACAGGACATTTCAACTTTTGCTCCATGAAATAGATATAGCCTGTGCTAGTGTAAATTTACAAAAGCTCATTGGGCAGACTACTGCATACTAGATCTCAATCTGCCAAGTTACATATGTCAGAGTAACAATATCTGTTAAATTTTTGCATATTGTATGGGTCTAAATGTGCTGAAGGGGTTAGTTAACATTAATTTAATTTTAAAAGAACAATCAATTTCATTTTAAAATGACTATATGCATGGCTTATTTTCTTCTATAATCAGAATGAGCATGTAGTGTATAATTTACCTGAGCAAATTTACCCTCCTTTCTACAAGCCTCCAGGTATGATTTGTGGAGTACCCATTTACCAGCAGCAATGCATGACAAACATTTTTCATTTCTCGCTGGCTGGCCTTTAAAAAAACAAGATAACATTCTTTTTTTATATTTTTTATTAAAAATAGTTTAAGCAATAAAATCATGAGAAAAATGATGCCATAGCACTACCCGGTGCATTATATTAAAATCATCTAAGGCCAGAAAGGATAAGAAATATTTATCTGACATAAATAAGATGACCAACAAAACCTACCTAAAATTAGATGAGTAGCTGCAGGATCAAAATGTTGTTTGTCTAACATTTTCCCCCCGAGCTCTTCCACAAGGGCAGAGTATTCAACTCTTTCCTGCTATAAAGAAAACGTTAACTCATAAAATGATATATTCTTTGTAATGACTATATAAATGAAATTAAATGATGGTTAATCAACAAAATACATGCTGTAAATCTCCTAAAAATGCAGCCAAGTATTACAATTTAGGGCCAAGTATTACAATTTAGGGTCAAGTATTGCAATTTAGAGTAAATCGTACAGAAATACAAAGCATGCTTTTTAACAAAAGCCAAAAACTATTTCAATATTAAAAATGAAGACAAGGAAGGGCATTACCCTCACAGATAAGTATCATTACAGAAGGAAAATCTGACTCATTGTAACCTTATATAGAATGGTGCAGAAATCTTTTAAAAACGATAAGTCTGTGAATAACAGAATTAACAATAAATGGTAATTACAAGTATAATTTATGCAATTAGTGAGTAATGGAAGTTAGAAAATTAAAACTGTTTGATTTAATTTCAGACTGAAACTTGGATCATATTTTCTGTTTTTGTTAATTTATCTATTATGGAAATTTTAGATTCCCTTCTCAAACATATATGACTATGTTTATATATGTTTATAGGGATTTGGAAGCATGGCTAAATTTATTCTTTGTTATTCAAATATTCTCTCAACACGATTTCTAATGAACATTCTCTAATGGGGACAAGCTTGTTTTATAATGACTTTTAAATTAAACTTTGAGTTACACAACTTGTGGGAAGATAGATACAAACAACTATTTCCCAAAAATGTAAGCCCTCCAGAACGTAAATAGTTGTTAAAAATGAGATGTCCCTCATTTCACAAAACCTACACAGCTAAATGTAGCATCTAGTAAAATGTCATGTTTCATTTGCAATAAAATAAGTTAAAAGTTTGTTTTTGGCTAAAATTATATAACATAAAACTAATTGTTTTAGGGCAGCTTATTACAACACACAATTTTATGAAAAAAGTGGTGTCCTCCTGGCAAAATAAGTTTTGAAGTACCGGTACTAGCAATGCTGCTACCCTAAACCCGCAACAACAAAGGAAATCTCTAAGGTTGTTTTTTTATGTGCTCTGTTACTTGTCTTAGTTCCATTTGTCTTGTTTGCTGAAGAAGGCTCTAAGCCAAAACATCCAAATCTTATTGTCTTGTGTATAAATTCAAGTTTAACACACCTTGTTCTTATATTTCATTTTCCTTATACTACAGCATCTTCTTTTTAAAATAGCCCAGGGAAAGTAGATGTTTAGATATCCCTGTCATGTGAAAATTCTCCAATCTTATAACCCTGAGCCTAACTGGTTGATTATTATTTTGAAATCCTTTACATTAACTTTGCTTCTGTTCGTGTGTTTCTTTCTTTGAGGCAATATCTTCAGAAGGCTAATTGATCCACTTCCCATCATGCTATCGAGCTGAAACTTGTCACATAGACTCATTGCCGATGACAACACATTCTATTCAAATTTTCAGCCCTACCCAAAAATATCAGTTTTTCTGCTTTTCAAGGGGAAGATATTGAAAATATGGTGCAATCATTTCTTAAGAACTTTGGCCATTATTAAGTCGTACAATAATGCAGAAAACAGTAAGTCATGTACAATTACATAAATGCAAACAAAAATGCATATAAGGGATTTATAAAAAAAATTTTTGGGTTGTTTTTTTAATTATTATTTTAAAACAACAGAAAATTAGACAATATTTTACCTGGTTTTGTACACCTGTTATAAGAAGTGCTGGTGGTTGACGGTTCATATTTGTTGTATTATCATTACTTTCATCACTTAATAAATCAACAGGCTGAGGTGGGAGAATATGACTAGTAGGTTTTGCCAATGGAAATGCTGGGAAATATTTACAAAATACATTTAACATAGCTGACTTGACTTTGCAGCTGTATATTATCTGGCAAGATACACAGCAAAAATAAAAATTGGTGAATAATCCCCCCTTCAAAGTATATAAATTATAATGATTTAAATTGATTCCTGAGTGTTTTCATACACTATAGTTAACTAAAGATTTGTCATAAGATCATTGTTAAATTTTGTTATTTTTTTAAACCAAATATTGGAAATCATTTCCAGTCTGCCATTCATGAGTGATGTAATTATGTCAACAAACTAACAATTTTGAGTTCTAAAACTTTCAGATGTCGGCAAAATAATATCTGGAACAATCTTGACGTAAGTTGTTGTAAATTATTAAATTGATATTTTAAAATAATTTTTTTTTAAGATGGCTTTGCATCTTATTGAAAATAAGAAGGTAATAACTTCTTCTACCAATTTAATTGTTTTTTAAAATTCAAATAACCTATTTTGCCCCATGCTAAGTTAAAGTGGCATGTTGACGCATATAAGCATTACTATAAATGCTGTATATTTAGATTTAAATATGCATAAAACTGATAATTTTATTTGTATATGCCTATTTTATATTTTAAAATTTTTACAATTTTCATCTTAATTTTTTTTACTTTATAAACTTCAAATTTTTTGTTTGTTACTTCTTGCCTCTTTTACTCCCTCTGCACAAATTACAATGTTGCTTAAACATATTTTGTGCTTTGTATAGCACTCCTTACACCTCATTAGCAGTCTCTCCATCCTGCACACACTACAACACCTCCGTATGTTTGTTTTTTTTACTCCCTTTAATAGCTTTTTTTTTTTTTTGCAATAAATTCTTACCTATAGGTGGAGGTTCAGGTGTGGGAGATCTTTTGTTGGCCAATTCTGAAGCTGCATTATTAGTCTAGGAAAAAATGAAAAGAACCTTTCAAAATGTCACCAAAGAAATAAGGATTCAACAAGATCTCCAGTGGCCAAAGACTGCAGCTTAAACTGTCACACTACTACAACTGACGATTTAAGATGAAACACCTTAAGAAACATAGTTCACATTACTTAAGCTCTTGGGTTATAGGTTGGGAAATTTTGCCTTCTCGGCTAACAATTGTTAATTAATTAATTTTTTTGTTGAAATATAATAAATCCTAAGTCATTCTTCTAATAAAGCACTTTACCTTCATACTAGCTCTTTTACTTGTAATGTCTCTTGAACCATTAATGTCAATGCCTGCTAATAATTCATCTGTATTTTGGCTTGGTTCACAAACTCTTTCAAGTCTACAGGCTAATTTTTCTTTCTCTAATCTAAAACGGTAGTAAATGTAATATTTCACAAGAAAGAAAATACATAAAGAGTGTAAAACTCATGCCAAGTTAATGTCAAGTTTTACTTTGGGTTTTCATTAAGATGCAAAATATCATTAAAAAAAACTTACTGATTTATGTTTTAATAATTATATTGTTAAACTTAATCACTCATACACAATTCAATTTTATAAACGTATTTTAAGTTCATTTGCTTGAATATTTATGTCTAGGAAAAATGTTTGAATAATAATTTGAACTTCAGTTTACACACAGAGAAAACTGGTTAAAATAAACTTTTTTTTTTTAAACAGCACCTCTCAGTGGGGTCATCCCATGTGACTTGAGAGCTCTGAGATGGTTCTGGTGGAACTTCTGTGAATAAATTATTTATTACCATACAGAAACTAGAGCCATTTTTATATTCAACACTTTTAAAATGCATTTTTTTCCCTAGTATAATTTAGTTGAAAACCGTGAAGTTTTTAAAATTTAAAATCATGTGAAATAAAAGGGGTATAAATGGCAGCAGCAGAACTATAATTTTATTTGTTACTTTGGTAGGATCTAAAATTTGCATTTAAAGAGGCATTCAGTGTCTTTCTAATATAAGCCTATAATTCAAAATTATAGAAAGCTGATGAATACACAAGGTGTCGTGAGCTTTTTTTCCCTTTAAATATAAATTCCTAATTTAGTTTTGCTTTATGCATTTTTAAAATGTAAATTATTACAGTTAAAAGTTGCTAAAAGATCAATCATACCGATGATCTTATTTTATACTTATCATACTTGAAGTAGTTGTTCCAGAAGGGCTGGTTCTGGAGAGAGGACTTCCAGAACTGTAACCGTCAGAAGGTTGGCCACTGGCTGAAGATTAAAAAATTTTCAGCAATAAAAAATTCAGTTACAAGTAAAAGCTCATCAAATTTTAAGCTAGCATTAACACTTTAAAATTTTGTAAGACTGTCCAAGATATCGGTCCCCTGAATGTTGAGGGATCTAAATACCAAAAACAAACAACCAATATCAGGAATAGTGTTAGTGTTACTTACAGTTGAACTGCCTGCCTATTTTTCTAATGGAACCTTTTGACCTGTAAAAGAAACATTACATTGTTAACTAGTTGGGTTTTTTTTTTAAAGTAAATGGAAACTATGCTATTAAAAATTATTTTTTAAATATAATTTTTAAAATTCTACAAATTTGTCCAAATCAAAATATACTTCAAAAAATAATACCTGGAAACATTAGCTAAAGCATTGCCCATTGTCTTTGTGAGAGCATCTTTAATTTCTTTATTTTTGCTTGTGACCTGAGTAGGAATTGTAAATATAAATATATATTAGAATCCTAACTTTAATCTAATTGAGTTTTTTTACACTACTTTTCCTAAAAATGTGAATATACATTTTTTTCAGTAACTAAAAATATATTCCACAACTTTAGTATGACACATTCTTTTCAGTGGAACAAAACTTTGAAAAAAAAATATTTCTCCAACAAATGCAGCCCGCAATGTAATTTTTACAACCTAAGGTTAATGACCTGTATTTCTGATAATTCTGAGGACACATTATTGGTTGGGCGAGAAATGATTGCTTTATCTGGATTCCTTTTAGTATCCACTTTTTGTAAATCCTCATTTTGCAAATCATCTTTTTGTAAATTTGAACTGGGCATTTTCCTGTTAGGTGTCTTGCCAGCAGAAATTGATTCAATGGGCTTGATAATCCCATCACAAAGGTTAATAGTTCTTGCAGTAGCTCTTGTGCTTCTCACTGGTGTTATTTTAGAAGCAGGTGTCATAGCCTGAAAAAAAACGTTATTGAAAATATTTCATATAATTAAAAATAAAGGGAAAAAAAAGATAGTCATTAACATTTCCGTTTTATTTTAAAGTTCTCCAAGCATTATTAAAAGTTTTGGTAAAAATTGATATAAAGGTAGAGTTGTACATAAGATTAATTTTATTTACTGATTACTACCAGACTTAGGTTTGGGTTATAGTTGTAGGGGAACAATCTCTCATCCACTCTGCAATTTTGTTCTTTGCACTGTGAAAAATTATCAAAACATGATCAGGATGGTCTGGTCATTGATTTCTTGCATTCTCAGAACTAAATTTTATTCAACAATTAATTTCATTTAATTTTATGTACTCTAAATGACATTTTCAAAATGAAATGTGATTATATTGAGTAAAAAACATTTTTTACAATGAAATTTTTCACTCATTTCATTATTTAAAAAAAAACAGTTTTGCATAAAGCAGTTTTAAAATACTTGGATACATTCATTGGCCATTACTTTTTTTTTTAAATTTCAACTTTGATATAGAAAACTCAAACCTACAGCAAATAACCAAAATGGTGACACAATGGTTTTCCGTTCCTCAACAGCATTGCGAAATTCTTTATTAGTATCATTAAGCCTCCCCTGTTAAAAATTTGATTAACATGTTCAAAGAAATTACCTGACGTGCTAAATTAAAAAATAGTGAATTATTATTTATTCATAACATAATTTAGAATCAAACCAAATTTTTTAAAATCTTATGATAAATTATTGCTTCTTGCAGACACGTTCGTTGTTTTGTCGTGTCCTATTTTCAGGGTCTCCCATACTTAGTTTTACTTATTTCCTTCTACGTAACCTGATTGCAGTCTCTCCCCCTTATTACCATACATTATTGTTAATATTTATGCCATCAAAACATTATAAATATTACATGAACAATTTAAAAATAAAGTTACTTTTTAAAGAATTCATAAAGCTTGTTCATATTTTACTCAAATCATGTGATGCAGAAGGTTTGGTAAGTCGTTGTTATATATACCTAAACGACCAAATAATGTTTTCATTAAAATGCTTTTAGGACATGCCATGTAACATATATTAGATAAATGAATGCCTGAGTTAAATACCTGGAAGACAAAGTGGGTCACTTGTGGTCCTATATGCCATGAGTAGTTACCACCAAGTTCTACAACTATATTGTTATAGGTTTCATGATTTCGGCCAAGCTTTTTAGCTACAGCAATCACCACTCCAATGAGTGGAGCAGACTGGAGAGAGAGAGAGAAAAGGAGAGGGATATTTAATTTAACGTCTACAAAAATTTTAATAAAATGTCACTATGAAAACTCATTACTGCGACACTATAGTCATGATTACACTTAAAAATTGAAACTTTAAGATTAAATTTAATTTTTTGAATATTGACATTTCTTTAAAATGATATATCAGCTGTACAACAAGAAAATGTAGTAATGAAAACAGTTTACTAGATAAATATATTTATCCGGTGCAAGTTTTATCTGATTTGGCAGAAAATGGACTGCAGAGCTTACATGACTCACCTGACTTGCAGGCATCTGCCCATCATCAGTTTCACCAGCTAATCCATCTTCAGCCCAAGCATTCTGTGCAGCTATGGCAATATTCCTTCTAAATACTTCTCCCAGCGGCTAAAAACAAATCAATTTTCATTGGTCGTGGCTTTTAATAACATCAAAAGTGAAATAAAAAAAATTAGACCAGTTTTTAATTGTAATGAAAAATCATTTAAAAATTGTATTTTGTTTATAAAACTGGAGAATTTTAAAAGAAACCATTTGCATACCCATTACAGTAAAACAAGAGTGATATTAGTGTATAATAAATATATCCAGTTTACCGTAGATTTATTAAGGTCAGTTGCTGTGTCAGGTGTAGTGAAATGACCCTAAAGAATAAAGTAAACATCATAATTTTTACTGAGACCAAAAATTACTTTAATGTAACAAATAAATGTAAATAAATTAACAATTCTTATCTTTTAAAAATAATCTTAAAAAATAATAATAAATAATTTTAAAAAAGAAGGGATATTAAAAAAACTTACATCAAAATTAAACTTTGGCACAAAATCAGGTTTCATGAAAGTACCAGGTGTTTCTCCACCAGTGTTTCTTAATCCTAATGGTGAGGATCGAGAACCTGGAGTGGTCTGACCCTGTTCAATAAAATGTTAGGAATGATAAAACTTGTATCTTTTTATTTAGATTATTATACAATTAATATGCACTTAAGTAACAAGAATTTGATAAAAATCTTAAGGCTTCTTACCCACTTTTGTCGCAATAAATCAACTGGAGTCTTCATACACCCAGCTGAAATATTGTCACTTTGATTAGGCCTACAAGCACTTTTCATAGCAGTTGGCACAACTGACTTGCTCGTGGTGGTTGGGGTGGTTATGGCTGCCTGAACCACTGGATTTACTTCATTCTTATTTTGAGCATTTGAATCAGTGTTTTCTGTTGGAATTTTATTGTTTTCTGCTGAAGGTTTAGGAATCTTATTGTTTTCTTCTGAAAGTTTAGGAATCTTATCGGTCACCTGTAAAGCAGATACAGAAAAAAGACAAGATAAGTTTATTTATTAAGTAAAATACTACAAAAAAAAATTAAAATTTGCCAAATGTTTTCAGCAGGTTTAGAAAAAAAGTAATTATACAAATATATAATCATCCATATTAATATAATTTATGGCATAACATTCTAAATATTAACTCAATGGGTAACAAGGGATGGAAGAGATGGAAATCAAACCCGTTTTGAGAAGTTGGGTTCTTTTCTGAACAACACAAGATGAAAAATAGTTGGCTATCTAATGTTTAATTTGTCACACATTAATGAAAATCAACCCTTTGGGTGTCGTAGAGGTGAAGTGGGGAGGGGGCAGGTAGGGAAAGATTTAAAAACAAAAAGAAGAGATCATATTGGTTATCAAAGAAATTGGTTTTTAGTTTGGTTTTCTGGTTTTGTTTGGATAAGTTCATTCCAAGTGACATTGAAGTTCGTATCAGTTCATACTCAGTGACATTGAAGTTTGGATTCAGTTCGGTCGTCAGCAGGTTTCCGTTTAGTTGTCATCAGGTGTATCCTGTTAAGTGTTGATTACCATCTCTAGTACATAAATATGCATATACCCTTCAGATAATTTTTAAAATTTTTACCTCATCAATGACATCTTTAATGGTGTATTCCTCTACAGCGACCATGCCTCCTTCTTGAAGACAGGCAAATATCCATCTGCAGAAGGCAAGACATGAAAAAATTTACCAAGTAATAAAAAATTTAGATATATACATCTTGCAAGTTTGGTTGCTTTTTTGGCCATTTTTGTCAGTTGTGAATTTTAAACTTGTATTAAATTTGTTTTATTTTTAAAGATATTTTAACATATACAAATTTTAATGTTAATACTATTTTAATTTTTACACAGTTAAAATTTGCATGTTTATAGTATACACATTAAAGCTGTGTGACTTGCAAATTTAAAAAAAAAAATCATATGGAAGGTTACATAGCAATTGAAATCTCCTATGGCTTTAACAAAAAATAATAATTTGAATTTTAATCATTTTAATTAACTACCACTGAATTGGAGATAAATAACATTTTAAAAGCAACATAATTTTAAGGAGCAAAAAAAAAACTTACTGTAAAATTGCACTATTAGTGAAATAGGAAAACCCTTCGCAACTTAGTTCTTATTTGGGTTGAATAGTGCTTAGTATTTTAAAATATATTTATTAAATTTTACTTGACACTGGTATCAAGAGAGTTTTTAGAAATCAGGCTTTTTAATGTGTGTGATATTTGATAAACTGAAAGCTTCAAAAAATATTTTTTAAAAATTGTATACTCTTTTCCCACTGCAGGTATATTCCATTTCTTGGCAGCATCATACTTAGATCCACTGGGCTGATTGACAATCAGATGAGTGCTTGCCTCCAAATTTTTGCGGGACTTGCGTGAAAAATGTTCTTTGCAGCTATATTAGAAATGTGAAAATATTACAACTCAATGTTCTTGCCTCTCTAAATATACTAATAACTTACATAAGAGGACAAAATATACTCTGTATAAACTAAGTTTGACTTGTACAATTTAAGAAGGATAAGATAATTGTGGAATAATTGTGCGGTTAGAATACCTGATAAGTTCTTGAGTGTGAGTTGCAATTATTTAAAATGTTATAATAGCAAAAGTAAAAATTTACTTACATTGCACCCAATCCCTCCGCAAGGTGCAAAAGGCACTGTCGTTCTATGCCAGAATATCCACTGCAATTTCAGTATTAATTTATAGTTTAATAAATTTAAATATTTTTATAATACTTACCTAACTAAGCTTAAAGATCTAACTTATTAAATTGAAACATGATTATGAATAATAAGTGACTTTTAATGTATACTTGATTTTAACCTTTTGTTAAACTAAATCTTTTCAATACTCTGTACCCCAGACAAGTAAAGTTTAGTTTTAAACATTTTTTAACAATATTTTTGTGATTGTAATATGGGGACATATTTACCTGATGCATAAGCAGGAGCCTTTCAAAGGTTCATTCTCTGGAAGGTCCATTGGTCTAAACAAAAGATTACTATCAAATGGTAGTAATTTATCACTTTCAATACACATTTGCTGTGGAAACACACAAAAAAATAATAATTAATTCTTTTTCTTTACTTTATATTAATATTCAATTTTAAAATAATATATTTACTAATTCTATAAGAAAAAAAAAGGTGTTCTTGATTTAAAAAAACCTAAAACTTATAAACTGACAACTATTACTAAAAAGCCTTATGGAGAAATGTTTACCAGCCAGGCAATAGTTAGAACTTCCGATACAGTGACATCCACAGGGTAACCCATTAGGGGAACAATTCCGATGTCAGCTACTTGACGTTTTTTACCATTAATTACTTGACCTACAGTTTTCAATTAAAAGAGAAGTGTTAAACGTAGAAACTGTCCATATTCATTTATGATCTGCTTTGCAGTCAGGATAAAATATATCTAATCTTGTCAATACCAGAAATTGTGAGTTCAATGAACAAAATCAGACATAAGTGCATAAAGTAGCAACATAATATTAAAACAAATTTAAATAAATATTAAATTTGAATTTTATAACTTGTTATAATACATAATTGTTTTTTCTGTGTCATGATAGATTAGACAGGTGATATTTAATGTAAAATAGGTCCTATCTTTTAATATTTTATGTAGGGTCTAACTCCTCCCCAAGGCAACCAAGCCATATAACCACTTTCCCATATTTGGGAACCACCCCAGATGAATACCAACCCATTATTAACTCATAGTTGTGAGGTACTGGTAGTGTAAAACTAGGTTTGGCTCACTGTGACAACTAAGATTATTAACAATAATCATAAACTACACTTACCGCCTTTTTGCTCAATTAACTCTAATAGTTCAGCTGTTTCACTTTCTTCAAAGCCAATAATGATGAAGCTTATTTTATCAAAGATCCCTTTGTCTGGCACAACACTGTCAGTGATTTCTAATAGAAAACATTGAAATGTTTGCATAAAAATATATCTCAGTACTCTCAAAAAAATATTCCTATTGCTTACCTATCGTTTATAAAATTTCAACTGTGTTTATTTTTAATAATTGATTACTCTTTGCTTGTACTGTTAGCTGAAGAAGGCTTCTTCCCAACACATTCTTTTTTTGTTGCGTCCTTTTTCCCAAAGTTTTCCCATACCCTGTACCTTGTTTCACATATTTCCTTCTAATTGACCTGATTTAAATCTCTGTCCCTACTTATAATTATTTTGTTTAAAAATGAAGTTTTGATTGAGTAAATAAACATATACAGGAGTATTCTTCAATTATCATAGAAAAACAAACCATTTGGATTTTGTGTGGCCTCTTCTGGTTCAGTTATTGTCACATTGTTATTTGCTTCTAAATCTACAACTTGAACTTCACTGTCTGTATCCTTGCTTGTGTTATTTGGATTTACTGAAATTTTATTAAAAATGTGTTGTATCTTTAAAATATTAAAAAGATTAAAATCATTTATTTATGAGTAAATATCAGTCTTAGAAACCTATAAAATCAAAGGATAATCCACCTGCAGGATCTATGTATTGGCTCAAGAGTTCCGCCATTTCTAGGTCACTTGCAGCTTCCATTCTGAAGGCTGTGTTATCTTGTTGGGTGCCATTGGATTTTTTACCATGCTTTTGTTCCACAGTGGGGGTTGGCGTTACTTTGGTTGTTTGTTTGGGTCTGAAAATATTTTTTTTTTAAACTTAAAAGCATCTTGTCAAAACAAACCTAAAATCATTTACAAAAGCACTTTTTAGGTAGAGATAGTCCAGTTAAACTAACAAGGATGCTTCTTTTATTTTGTTGGGAAAATTAATTACAATTCAATTGTTTTAATATTAAAAATGATTTTTTTTTTTAAACAAATCAATAATACGTACTTTTCATGTTTTTCTTCCAAAGAATTTGTCTTTAAACTTAAATCATTTCTTAAGTACTTGGCTTCATTCAAGTGGTTATTCACATGGAAACAGTCCATAAGCCAATCAGTAGACACAACATGAGGACTAGAAGCAAAATAAATAAATGGGAGGAGATGATTTCTGAATTTAACACAATTACTTCATATTGATCTGGCATATTTTTACTTTAAATAGTAGGGGGAAATGTATAAAATATATTAATAATTATTAATTGTGTTTTCCGCTTAAAGATCATAGTCTGGCACACTATTAAGATCAGTAATTTAGCTTATGTAAACAAATTTCAGTCACAGGGTAACTTACCATTCTTGTAGTTTATTTAAAAGGTTAATATCAGATGTAACAATGTCACCAACAACCACATGGGTGATACCATCACCAATATCCATAGCTCTAAGCGATAAACAAAATTATTAAAAATCAATTTTTAAATGCATTTTTTAAATGTTTAAAAGCAAGAAAGATGGTTTTACAATAATTTAAAAACTAAAAAAGGTGCATGAGAGGGCTTTAGCCTTTAGTTTGATGTTAAAATACATGGTTTCTCTAAATATGGCCATAAAAGTACTCATTCATTAAAGAAATTAAAGCAATTTAAAGTGATACAAATCTAAGTGAGTAATGATACTAAGAATGTCTTTGACAGAAAGTATCTTTCAGTAATATGAAATGGTAAATTATAAATCATTCAAACTATACAACAGTGTGCTCACTTGCATATCATCATTATCTATCCAACAGTTCAATGAACGATAGCAAAATGCATTTTATCATAATTTATTGTTCCAGGCCACTTGTGTCATTAGTATTTTTCCTGAAAGGCAACTAGCCTTTACATTAATGATGTACAAAACTTCTAGTATATATTTATTAATTGTACATTCAAGACTTTTATGTGCAAATTAAGCTTAAATGGTGAGGTTAAATGTTAATTGGAACCCATTTTCAAGACCACTTCCAGTTGACAGATGTCTTCTGACTTTGGTGGTAGACAGGTATTTCAGACAGGTTGGATGAAACTCAAACCCATCACCATAACTGCTGCACCACAGTGCCAACTCTATTGATAATAAGCTTACTTATAAATATTGTTGGCCCCTGGAATGCTGAAGAAGACAATAATTAAAAGATATATCTATAATTGACTTAAACGTCTATATTTTAATTTACCTTAAACCTCCTCCAGCTGATATAATTTTTCTTAACTTCTCTTCCAATGATGATTTGACTCCACTCAAGTAAATCTGAAATTTATAAACAACATCATTAGTTGGATGTGTCCCAAAATCAGGCCATAAAGCCACTTGTGGCCCATCAGCTGACAAAAAGTGGCTCGTGAGGCCTCTATATTTACCATTCTGTATTTAAATATTTTTTTTATAATTTTATAATGTTGTGGCCCGTTTAATTACTGAAAAATTTACATGTGGCCCTCTTACTCTTGAAAAGCTTGGGAACCATTTCCCTAAATAGTTTATAGTAGGTCTAAGCTACACAAGAGTGAATCATATTTTACATATTGTAACAAGAAAGTAATCTGTGAAGAAACAAACCCTGCATCCATCAAGAAACACATCAGCTGGTGTAATGGTAGTGTCAGCTTCCAAGGTTGTCATACCAAGTCTTGTCTCTGAGATATCGCAATTTTTACCACCCATGGCAAACATTCCAGACATCCTGGTTGATGTCATATCCACTGATTCACTTACTCTCTGCATTGACACACTGAGACCAGCATTACTTATTACACTGATATCAGAAATATTGGGTTCATTAGCTGAAATATTTTAGAACATAATTTTTAGTGAGGCATAGCAGTCAACAAAATCTATTTCAGCTAATAAATCTCTACATATGAATGTGAGGCTGTAATGCTAAGAGAAACAATGGTCCCCTTTATTAAAAAAAACCTTATTGAACACAAATACAAAAACAAGAATGAAAAAAAGGGGAATGACTTTTTTTAAAGACAAGTTTAAATGGAAGAAGCTTAAATACTTAAGCAAACAGGCAAAGAATTTAGTTGAAAATTAGGGAGGTAAGTGATTTAATAAATTTAACACCGCTAAAAATTTGAAAACAAAAGAAATTCTTATACTTGATCGACGCTCTGGTGTTGATGTTTTCACTGATTTGGCTTGTGATTTTACATTGTACTGATAAGGTTTGGGATCCAAATATCTTTGCTTGTCCATACAATCCTGTAACCATTGGTCATTCACAACTTTTATCTCCCATTTCAGAGCTGCCTCATACTTTGCCCCTGTATGATAGAATAATAAAATATTAATATGATACAAATGTAGTTGATTTTTTAAAGAAAAGAAGACGGCCATTTAATGATTTAATAAATTATTGTTACACCCCAATGAAACGTACTACCTATGCATAGATAATATTTTAAATATCTATTTAAGTCCTACCTTTTGGCTCTTTCACGATTAAGTGAGTACACTCATTCATTTTCAACTCTCCAGAATATTTTCCACCTTAAAACAATGTAACAGATAAAATTTGGTTAATATGATTTCAGGTTTTAAAAAAAAGAAATTGCTAAAATAAAACCATTTACCACTATCAGAAAAAAAAAAGAAACCTCGTTAAAAAAGCCCAATTAATAAATCATGAATAAAAACATTATTTCTCTTACTTTTAAACCAGGACAGAGAGGAGGGAAAGGCAACAAACTTCAAAATACGTTCAAGACAAACTATAAAAAGCTTAAGCATGAGACAAAGTAGCATGTTACAGCATGACATGACCTCAACATCATGCCCTTCTTAACACACTGTTCTCAAAACAGTGAGGAAGACAATGGTGTTATCTTAGATATAGCTGAAATCATACAGACATAAAGAGAAAAGGTCAAACTCCAATGGATGTCACACCATGTGCCACACTCTGGTGTCAAGGCATGGCTTTAAACACTTTCATGACGTTTGGTGGTTTTGTGAGTGGTCGGAAAGCACCACAGCTAGGAAACTTCTTAGTAGCAGTCACCAGACTCTGGTGACACAGATGAGGATCAAAAAGTTTACAACTGGAAATAATCACCATATATTAAGCCCACATAAAGACCTTAGCTGCTGCTACTGTTTCCGAGCACTGAAGACATTTTGCAACATTCAGACATTCTCAGTTCTGCAACTGGGAGAGGGAGGGAGTTGAGACCCAAGTTATGGAGTTGATTTTATACTGACAGGCAAAGCTCTGACATAAAGGGTCACTAAGTGCAACTAGCTCTACCATCTATGAATATGAGAAAAGTTTAATTAAACAAAAATAAATTGTTAATTATGGCTCATTGTCAAATAGTTAATAAGAGATTAAATACGTTTTTTTTTTTTAAATCACAGGTAATGTTAAATTAAATTTTCACATACCACCTCTAGTGATGAAACTCATCATATTATTTCTCTCTCTGTTACTGAAGCCAGAAACAACTATAGTCAGGCCAAGGAATGGAGGGCATTTGTACTTGCTAAACATGTCATCTGTAGCTATGATTTGTCTATACGATAATTCAAAGAAATTAATTTAAAAACAAATAAAAACATATAACATAACCTCTGAAACATTAAAATTTATTTCATGCCATTGAATTCAAAGTAACAGCAGTCTAGAAATAATGAATACAATAAAGCAAAGGGTTCAGAGTTATTTATACTTAAATCAAGTTTATCAAAAGCAAACTCTCTTTGCAGGCAAGTTTTCTATAACTTTAAAAAAAAATATAATCTACCCATTCTTTTAATGAATTATACAAGCAAAGTATTACCTCTCCTTTGACGACTCCCATACTTTGTAAACCCATTCTTTTACCATGACTTGTTTATTTACTTTCATTGCCACCTTTTTGTATTCAAAATAAAAAAGATAAAATAAAAATTGAACAAAATATGAATTCAATTCAAACTTTAAAAAATTAAAATATATATGTAAAGATTTATGATAAACTATATTAGGTCAGTACAACATTATGCAGTTTTGTAGTCAGATTATTCAATATTAACACTAAATATTTTTAAATAGCACCTGGCAGAAAATTTACACCTGGTAGAACACAACTGATGTTTTTTTTGTTTTTTTTTAAATTCGATTACTAACCTGATACTTGGAACTGCCAACTTCCCCAGCAATAAGATGAGTAACATTTTCCAAAAAATCCCCAAGCACTTTACCTCCCATGAGCTGGACTAGCATGGATATTTCATTCTAAACATTTGAAATTTGTGAAAAGATATATTTATAAATAGATTTCCTGAATTTCTCTAATAAAAAATATTTAAATTCAAGCAAGTCTTAATTAGTTTATTTCTGTTAGAATAATTTTTTTTACACAATCAACACATAACTAAATTCTGTTCTTGGAACTATGTATTTGATTATTATGTATAATGTTTATATTTATAAAAAATAACAGCTAAGTTGGCACACACAAAAATTACCCGAGTATTTTTGTCAAGCGATGTACAGCAAACTACAAGACCCTTCATTGCTAAGTTATAAATTGGATTTTTCTTGTTTTCTGGAAAATGCTGGAAAACAAATAGGAAATTAATAATTTTAAAAAATTTTAAGTCAATCATTCGTAGCTTTTTATGTTTCAAGTATTGTTTCCCAATACTTAAGATTATGATATTCAGATGACTGTTTTATTTAAAAACAATATTACCATGATATTTTTTTAAAACTATAACCCAAAAAAAAAAAAAAAAAAAATAAGATAAGACCAAAATATAACTTTACCAATTTCATTCTAATACTCACACACAACAAAATTAATAATTTTAAAAAATTTTAATTCAATCATTCGTAGCTTTTTATGTTTCAAATATTTTTTCCCAATACTTAAAATTATGATATTCAGATGACTGTTTTATTTAAAAACAATATTACCATGATATTTTTTTAAAACTAAAACCCAAAAAAAAAAAAAAAAAAAATAAGATAAGACCAAAATATAACTTTACCAATTTCATTCTAATACTCACACACAACATGAAGAATAAATATATGACATACCAAGCCTAGAAGAAGATTATCTAAAATGCAGCGTGGTCCATAAATTCTGTTGGTGAAAATAAATAACAAATAATTAATTTCAACTATCTACTATCTATTTCTTAGGACAAAATATGTTTGTAAGAGCTTTATAGATTTTAAAATTAGAATTAAAATACTTAACATTTTTTTAAAAACATAATACATCTGCCAAAATAACTAACCTGTATCCAAGATCCTTTATATGATTAAAACCCTTTCCTTCAAAAGGGTCAAATATGAAGATTTCTTTTCCTGTACCGTCCTTGGCAAGACATTGTTCATGTGTGATCCATTCTGGTTTGAAATTGAAGTCTTTCTTATTGAGGGTCTGGAAATATGTTTTAATAATTAATCACTCCACATGGCACCCATTTAATATATCCCATTTATCCAATATTTCAAGATTATAACAGTTACAATAATTATTTTTAATTTAAATAATTAAACTGATCTAGTTCTTGCTTCCATGACAGTTTTAAATAAAGGAGAAACTATAATTACCTCAAAAGCTTTAACAAGCACATTGGAACTCTCTTGTCCATCCGGTTGAACAAAATAGAGCCTAAATTCATCACCCATGATTCTAGTCCTCTCCTTTTAAAAATTCATTCAAATTTACTCCTGATAAAAGAAAAACCATCTTTACAACTTAACCTTAATTTAAAAACAATTCACAAGACTGGCAGTTTAAGTTATTTTCTACCTCACACAAATGAATGTAAATAAACAGGATTGTAGTTAATGTAGCAATTCCCTTAAGATCTAGTGAACTTTTAACATAATTTAGGCTATATGTAAGTAACGCTGATCTCATTCATAGCTTTTGCTTTCTCATAAAATAATAGCAATAACAATACCTTCTCTACAACTAAGCTATATTATAGACATAATAATTTAACTTATCTTAGTAGTTTATCATTTTTTATTATTATTATTAGTGTTTTTTTTATAGCCCAGTACATACAATTTAACAAACATTATCATGAACTTAAAAATTAACATACATTAATTAAATAAAACAAAACAAATGTATATTCACTCCACCCATTCCAGAACTATTTACATGTCAAGCCATGGATGGCACCCAGCAGCATCATTTATTGATCAGAGGGGGGAATCAATCAGGATAGTAGAGTTTAAAGAGATGTGTTTTGAGTGCAGTTTTGAAGGCTGTGATGGTCGGTATATTGTGGATGTGTAGTGGAAGAGAATTCCATTGTTTGGGGGCACAGAAAGAGAAAGATCGTTCACCGTATGTTTTTGTGCGAGTCTTGGTGACAGAAAGAATACGCAGATCTGCTGAGGAGTGAAGCTGTTGAAGGGGTGAATAGACGGAAAGAAGTTCGGTTAGATAGGAAGGGCAGGAATTCGAGAAAGTTTTGGCAGAGAACAGAGAGTTTGTAGTCAATCCGTGCTTGGACAGGGAGCCAATGAAGTGAATGAAGTAGTGGTGTGACGTGATCACATTTTTTTTCCCTTAGAACTAGCCTAGCAGCTGAGTTTTGAACCTTTTTTACTTTTTCTAAGAAGTGTTTTGGTGAACCTGACAGAAGAGAGTTGCACTAGTCAAGACGAAAGAGAACAAGATAACAAGAGCATAGACTTGGGTTTTTGTTGCGTTAACTGTGAGGTAGTGACGGATGCAGCTGATCAGACGGATAGCGGAGTATGCAGAGCAACAAATGTGAGAGATATGATTATTTAGAGACATTTTGTTAGACAGAATATAACCAAGATTCCAGCGGAGGATTTAAACTGTATTTTGGAGTTACCTACTTGAAATGAGATGGAGAGAGCTGAGTTAGAGGATGATTGTGAATAAGGAGTGCTTCCGTTTTGTCATCGTTTCTACAGACATAGAAACTAACTATAGTTCAGATCTAGACACTCACTGTGACTATTATATATTGGACAGTTTAGGTCAAGGGTTCTAACCAGGGGAACCAGCAGTTCGAGGAAGTGCAGGAAGACTAAGGAAATCAGGCTAATTTGAATTTGTACAAGCACCAGCAAGTATTTTGTGGTGAATATTTTGTCCCTTATTTGTAATGGTTCATTTTTTGTTTCTTTCTAACAAGTTAAATTTAAATAAAGGGAAAACAACAATAACTGAATTATTTTCAATTATATTTATTTTTTTATAAGTTTAATCTGGAGAAAAAAGTGAAGGTGTGTAAATTGTTTTGAAATTGAAAGGGAGTGTAACAAAGAATCTCTGGACCCTAGTTTGGGTAATCATAAAATTAATCTGATATTAAATTGTAAATTTAAGGCTTAAGTTCATTTGATATTTAGCATTGTAATTTAAGGCTTAATTTCATCTGATATTTAGCATCATAAATTTAAGGCTTAAGTTTATCTTATATTTAGTATTATAAAGTTAAAGTTTATAATAAATTATATTATTTTATTGCATTTAATTTACCTGTCTACCCTTTCGTAGATGACTAAATATAACAATGTAAGCCTAATGGCAAAAATAAAAAAGTGTTTTAATTTAAGATAAACTAATTTAAATATAAATAAAACACACTGCACCCACAACTCACTGCTACACTTTACATTAGGCCTGTTTAGTTTTTCCTATGCATTGAATTAACTTTGTATCAGGTCAAATTGGATTGAACAGTTACATTCTTTAATGTTGAGGAATTCTCTATAAGTGGATGCTAAACTTGTCAATCCATTGAATTTGTCAAGCATAATACTAACAGGGTAATCTACCACTTCAGTTTGACTTTTTAAAAAATAGTGTTGTTAGGATTTGAAAAGCTATTTAAAGGGTTATTCTCTTATTGATGCCCCTGTATAGTGCAGTGGAGAGAGAGCCAGTGAGTCTTCCGTGGCATAGAAAGAGAGTGGCTGCTGTTTTCTTTTTGAAGGGCCAGACAAACATGCGATCATGTTACAGGAGTGCATAGTGATCAGCCACAGAATCTACATACACTCTATTGTGGTCCATATGATCCATCAACAAAATTTTCCATCAACAAAATTTTGTTGATATCAACAAAATTTTGTTGATACAAATGACACTGGTGTCCACACACATAATGTTGAAAATGTGGATGCAAACTGAAAAGACAGTTTGGCACAAACTACAATCTTTCCCCTATTCATTTGCATGACTTCATGTTCTCCAATCCTTTTCAAGGAGATTATATAAACTCAAAATGTGTTTGCTTTTCATACATTAAATTGGGCTAATTCTTAGAGATCATCCAGTGACATCATTTGCGTATTTATTCAATTTTTTAGCAGGAGTCATTCCCCTTTGTTTATTTTATTGCTTATTTTCATTGGAGGAAGTGTCGGAAGCAATGTTCCCTCTAAGGTTTGCTGGTTCGTATACAAAATCATACAGTTGTGTGCAAAGTTTTACAGCATCAATTTTTGTGTGTGCATTATTTTACAGCCCACAAACACACACTTACATGGAAATTTGCTGCGCGGAAACTCAAAACTGCTGCGCGGCATCTATGAGTTAGCTGCGCCGCCGTGCAGCTTAAAGGGAACATTGGTCGTAAGTGTTTATTTTTATACAATTTTTTTTATGTATCAGTATTCATACGTTGACGGCATGTTTTGTATACAAATTCTAATTGGTTGATTAATAATTTTAAATTATCATTGGTTGGCTAATTATCATATTTTATTTGTGCCACCATATTTGCTAGATTTCGGCTTGCTACAAGTTCATGTCGGTTCTTGTGTTTTATTCATTTTGTGGATATTATTTTTGGTTGAACCTTAAATAAAGTGTGTAAAAGTGTATTTCATGAAACTGTAAGTTGGGTTTTAATTATTTCTTTTTTTTTAAATTATTTTTTGCCATATTTTTGGTTTTTGTTCATTTTCATAATTAATTTCTAATTTTATATTTTTTGTTAAATTGGGGAGGGGTACTGGGGAGGGCTCTCCCCTCTCAAGAGAATTTCTATGTTTCTTATTTTGGTATTTAAAGCGAGGGGAGGATCATTCCAAAAGCAATTTAAGCAGCAGTCTGGTTTTTTTTTTACACTTGTCTTTGCTCTACTTTTTTTTTATTGGCCGCCATCTCGGTTACATGATCCGTGACCTTCTCACGGATTGTGTCAACAAAACTGGCGGCCATGATGGGAAACCCTGTTACGATCTCTAATAATTTACCATTAAATTGTTAAAATTTTTGTATGTTAAAAATTAGCCTATGTCTTTTAATTAATTTAATATGTGCTGATGCTGAAATGAACATAATAATAATAATCTACAGATAGGCCTATAATATGAATAAAGCTGTTATATTATTATTACTATATAATATTATAATTAATTATATTTATAAAATATAATGACTTAAATTATGACTATTTGACTTAAATGACTACCAAGCTGCAGTGAGAGCAACTTACTGACGACTAGTGTCTGTTAAACTGTTAGTGTAGTGTAGCAATACTAGTCACTAACTAGTTTAAGTGTAAGTGTAAGCAAGAGACACCTACTAGTCTAGTCTAGACTAAGAACATCAAGATAAGAGCAACCTACTGACTACTGTTGTAACTGTTACTTTTAACAACTCAGACCAAGAGTCCAGAGTCAGAATTTCAGTCAAAGTAAAGAGAAAATGACAATCAAAATATCCAAAACATGATAATGATTGGCTGATGACACTGACATTCATATGCAATTCATGGTCGTTGGCCAATTGAATGAGGGGCAGGGACTGTTTAGGTTCTTTTAATTTTTTTTTCTCAAGTAAACCCCAGGCCATGAAGAACAAATTCAGTTGGAATAATTAAATTACTCTTATTTACTTAAGATAAAAGGTCCTGATACATTAATAATCCATTGTCTCAGTCTCGGTCTACCTTTTCCTGAGTGTTTATTTCGGAAGTGGCGCCCGCTCCAATGCGCCCAGATTTAGTCAGATTTCGGCTTCCGGGTAGCACATACACCTTAAGTACAAGAAACTTTAGCAAGCACTGACTAACTTAAATTCAGTAAAAATTATTTTATTTATTTTTTTTTTTTACATTACTCAAACAGTCCTTCTTGTATTAGAAACGAACAATATCCTATTTTAAAATTTATTTGGAGTAAATGTAATGGGAATACCACTAGTTAAAAACCCAGTATGAGATGGGTACATCGATGTAGCCTATTATGTGTGGGTACGCACTGCAAGGAGGTGTACATTTAAGATATTTTGTGTACTGTTGCGTATGTCGGGTATGGTGGTTGGCAGAAGTAAGCCTATATACAGTTAATATATCTAATAAAGCTAACTGTCACCTAAAAATCTAGGAAATCCATAAAACTGAAATGTTTTTAATGTCTAAAAGAATCTCAACAGTAATACTTAGCTAAGTGTACTTGATAGTGTGCGTGTTACGTAATTATTTCGTTGGGCTTAACCAAACAGCTGTACTGGCGAAAAAAAGTGTTGGTTGGGGGGGGGGGGGCTTAACAAAAATTTTAATTTTAAAACGGTTACGGCAGTGCTTCTCAAGCTTTTTTTTTTTCCCCTCAAACCCCCCCCTGAAAGTTTTTAACCCCCCAAAAATCGGA